GAGGCAGAAATCTTTAGCTGAGCCATGGACCGATTGAGGAACTCCCCCCTTGTATCCTCTTCCCTTGCCAAAAAAGGTACTGTCGCTACTCATAGTGTTACTAGTCCTATACATTCTAGCCCTTGGATTATTGATACAAGAGCCACTGACCATATGAGACATATGTGCTCTTTGTTTGCCTCCTATCACCTGCTATCTGGCCAAGATAAGGTGAGTAACTGATGGTCTCTCCACTACTTTAGGTAAGGGGCATTTCAGGCTAGGCGCCTCGCCCATGTCAAGGCATGTACTCATTAGAAAGGCGCTCGCCTCTGCACCTAGTCAAGCACCTCAGGCCATGCGTCAGGCGGCCCAGGCAAGGGACTTATTTAGGTTTTCAATTTTTTATTTGTTTTATGTTTTGAGTTTATATACAATTATTATAATATATCAAAGGCCTTTTTCTTTTATTTTTTACAACTATTAATATAATATGCTAAACCAAATAACCAAAAGCCCAAACTAAGAGTGGGAAAATAAAAACTTCCCAAGCAAGCAAACTGAAACAAGGGCAAACCAACCATCGAACTCCAAGTCCAAGGAAACCCTTCATTCTTTCCACTATTTCTGACAGTAAAACAGGGGCTCCGCCCATTCTAGTTCCCCCTTGTTTTCACACTAAAATAGGGGCTCCACCCATGCTTATTTTTTCTTTATATCTCACCAGTTTTTACTTTAAAACAGAGGCTCTACCCCATTCTTTCTACCACTGATTTTTACACTAAAACAGGGGCTCCGCCCCACTCTTATTTTTTCATTTATCATCGCAATTTTTACTTCCAAAACAGTGGATCCTCCCCATTTTTGTTTTTCAATTTTTTGTATCTGCTTTTATGCTCAAAACAGGGGCTCCGCCCCATTATTGTTTATGTAGAGAACATTGATGCGGGTCCCACAGCTGTGGTCCCACTCTGTCCGTAGGGTAAAATGTATCTAGTCACAGCTGTGGTCAATTTGCTATTCTGTTACTCCTAGTTTCAGTTTTATATTGTTTGTTATTTGTTAGCAGTTATGATGTAAACACCAAGGGCAGATATGTCCTTTCATGTAACTAGCATAACATATATATATTAAATTAAAGTGTCGACGGCAGAATATTGACATTCTGTTCTTCTCCTCAAAATCTGTGTTCTACTGCTCTTTCACCACTCTTTCTTCTACTTCTTCTTCACTTTCTCTTCTCATCGAACCTAAAATTTCTTAGTGGTCAAGACTGATAGCAGTCTTGAACACCTACAGTTTATCTATTTTTTGTTCACTCTTTTTACCTCCAAAACAGGGGCATCACCCCATTGTTATTCATGTATTTTTCTCGCTTCTTTTACATAAAAAATAGGGGCCCCAACCCACTGTTATTTTTTTTATTTTTCTCACTGTTTTGCACCCAAAACAGGGGCAATTAGGTAATTCAATGGTTGAAACATCTTAGCCCCATTAAATGTCATTGGAGCCATTTGACCATGGTTTCCAGATGGGAGATACCATTCTTCACTTACAAGGGTATGAAGTTAGGACTCCCCCAAACCTGTGGATCTGACCTTGATCAGTAGAATTGGGCCAGACCCGGACCTGCCTTCTTTTATGTGCTTGGGGGCCAATAGTGGGGGGCCCTACCCTTTCACAGCCAGATGGATCGAGTGGGCTACATGAGTTTCAGCAAAAGTTATGTTATCTTTTGAAGCAATTTGAAATGGCATTCCAGGAGCCCAACTGTCTTCCCCCTCCAAGAGCCCATGACCACCATATCCCCTTATTACCTAGAGTGGGACCCACAAATGTTACCATACTGATATCCTCACTGCTAGAAGCAAGAAATTGAGAGCTTCGTTCAAGTACTGTCAGATAAGGGCTTTACACAACTCAGCCACAGCTCCTTTTCGTCACAAGTTTTGCTAGTGAAGGATGAGGGGTGGAGGTTTTGTGTAGATTATCATCAGGCTCTCAATAACATTACCATAAAGGACCGTTTCCCAATTCCTGTGATAGATGAGTTGATCGATGAGCTTAAAAAAGGCGTGGGTGTTCTCTAAGCTCAATCTCCTGGTATTCCAGGCCGCTGTTTTTAAAGTAAAAATTGATGAGAAAAAGGAAAAAATAAGCATGGGTGGAGCCCCTGTTTTAGTGTGAAAATGACAGGAAATATAGGGGAAACAAGAATGGGCAGAGCCCTTTGTTTTTCTTTCAAAAACAGTGGAAAGAAAAATAGGAAGAAAGAAGGGAAAAAAAAAAAGAAGAAGGAAAGAAGATACATTTTTCAATTGAATCTAAAGATCAAAAAAAGGTTTCCTTGGACTTGGTGTCTTCGATGAAGAAGGGTACTCAGAGTTCGATGACTAGTTTGCCCTTGTTTGAGTTTGCTTGTTTGGAAAGTTTTTTGCTTTCCCACTCTCGTTTTGGCCCTTGGGCTATTTGGTTTAGCATATGATATACAATAGTTGTAAAAAATAAAAGAAAAAGGCCTTTGATATGTTATAATAATTGTATATAAACTCAAAACATAAAAAAATAAAAAAAAATGAAAACATAAATAAGGCACACAACTAGGTGTGTAGAGGCAAGCACCTTTTTGATGTTCACATACCTTAACCTAGGCAAGGCGCCTAGCCTGAAATGCACCTCACCTCTGCGCCTTTTAAACCACTGCCTTAACCTCCAGGCATATTTCATCCTTTAATCCTCCCACAAAACACCCAACTAAACTTTTCAGGCCATCCCTAAACCCTGGTAGCCAGGCATTCAAACTCCATCTAGTACTCACATACCATTCCATGTTGTTTCAATTTTGTCAGGCTTTCATCATAATCGACATATACCCAGAAGGACCAAATCTAACACAATGAGCACCAGTGAACTCGATCCATGTCATTTAGAGTGAAACAAGCAATACCATTGGTAATAGAGGACTTCCGTTTCCTACGACCACCCTTGCAGGACAAACCCAAGACTCCCCTCTAATTTTTGAACATGCAAGTGTTTTAATCAGACACCGACTTGACGAGATATTTTTTCTTTTTCACCAAATGCTGGCATGTTCAAAAATCACTAGGGGGTCTCGGGTTTGTCTTGTGACAGTGGTCACAGGAAATGTGTTCTCGATAATAGAGGATGGCTTCTTATCCAAATGAATAGCAGCTATAGCTGCTCAATTTGGCCCAGGGTCTCATTATATTCAAATATAGATCCATAGAATGGGATCTTCACCAAAAAAAATGGGAAAATCAATTTAACATTCTTACCAGACCAAGCTTCATTCAGCCTAACACTACCGTGGCTAGACTCTTGCTCCACCTCTCGGCTAGTACTAAGAGTCATCTAATCAAACCTCACCACCACCATAAATAGGGCTTCTCTGATTTCCTGATTTTCGATGTCACCTTGTGTAACTCAATCTCCATCTGATCCATACGTGACTCCATAGTCATTGCCCAAGTGCTTGGCATTGACCTTGCTCTGATACGAGATGTTAGTAAGTGCCTAACTAGAATCTTTTTAAGGAACCACCCTCTTGAAAACACAGAAGATGAAGAAGAAACGAGAGAGGATCATATCTGATTCATATCAATGTTTTAAAAACCGACCCAAAGGTCGAACCGTTTTTGCCTCAGGGTCGCAGGTCAAACCATGCTACATCATCATTCTATATACATACATATATATATATAGATATGTATGTATAGTTATATACATATGTGTATAAATACATATATCGATAAATAATGTATAGTTATATTCTACATGTAATATATGTACTATTTTATATTTAATTTATATTTTTAATTCAGTTTTTTATTTTTATTTGTAAAAATATTAAAAATTGCACTTTGAGGCAAAAAAAAAGTTTTTCATAAAAATAGCAAGGCAAATGCGCCTATGGCCCCTTGGGATGCAAAGATCTTGAAAAATTACCCAAAATCTAAAAAAACTCGCCCCAATCAAACATCAAAGTGAAAAGTTATGGCCTCTGGAAGTGTGCATACACATTTAGTGTGCAACCTGTGACCCAGTCACCAGGTTGAATAGGTCAACGGTCCAATTGCTCGGGTTGAACGGTTTTTGACCAATTCTTGGGTTTTAGTAGAACTAGACCCAGAATCATGGTCGGTTGATGGTTCAAACGGCCAAGTCAATGGTGGTTGAAAACACTACTTACAATAGCCCTCCCTTGTAAACATATTATTACATCGAATCAATTCAATTATGCCTTGGGATCTGCCTAACTAGCTCCTACTGATGTGGCCTCCTTTGAAAAACTTGTTGAGGTGCAGCCTCGTAAGGTGAGCTCTTAGCTCTAATGCCATCTGGACCTGGCTTCAAGGGCTGGATCGAGCTGGGCCAAACACTTGACTTCAAACCAAAAGGAAGTTTATCACCAAGAACGTTACCTTCTTTAAGACTCAATCATTTTTTGAACCTCCCCAGAATTCTCTTCAAGGGTAGTCTAGTGGGGTGGAAGATATTTTCTCTGAGGTTAACCCTTTTGTGTTCTATGTTTTCTCTTGTGTCCACTGCTCTTGCTACAAAAAAATGATGTGACTAAAGAAAAAGAAATGAGTGTCTATCAAAGGAGGAAAAAAAGGACCTTGCAACTAAAGATTGCAACCAATTAGATGCCTCTCACTGCGACCAAGGTACCACTCCTCACCTTGAGTTGGATATTCCCATTGCTATACATAAACTTGTCATTCATGCACCATTCATCCAATTGGTAAGAATGTCTATGCATGAGATTTATCCTTTTTTTATAAATGATATAAGCTTTATTATCGCAAGTGAATAGTGTACAACCAGCAGAGGAACGAGATGCAGCCCCAGCCATATAACCAGATGTATATCAATACTACCAATCAGCAACCAACTCAAATACATTAGTTAGCAACCACTTAGAAACCTAGAATGACCAACATCTTATTGTTTTCTTATATTTCATGTGCACAAGAAGTTTTAAATCTTGACTTGCATACCTTCAAACTAATAACAGCCACTCGATCAGCAGGCTTTGACTTCCTATTTTCCATGGTCCATGTCATTGATTTCAGTCGGGGTAGAATTCCCTACAATAAAGAAAGCTCAATTTGGACAATACCGATCATTCATTTTCATTTTCAGAAGAAAACAAAATGCCCATTTCTTTTCTAAAACCAATATATAAATATAATAAATAGGACTTGTTCATTTATTTCATACAAGTTACATCTAAAACTCATTAAACTGAATATAGGATAATTAATACAGGTACTTGCTATTGTTAGAACATGCAGTTTATTCATCTCAGAAGAAACATGACATGAATAACCCCATCTACTGATTATATGAGATTTACAACACAAATGCTAAAGAACAAACTTTATAAATCAGAGCTTTGATTGAAATTGATAGAATATAGAAATTGAGAAAAGATGCTTTAGCTTCAAATATACTAGAAGAAAAGCATGGCACCAACATAGGAAGGGTGGTGGCCATGTATTCAACACCTACTAGAGTGGGAGATTCCCTGAACTGAATTGATGGCCTTACTGCAAGGCCTAAGACTAGCAAAGCAATCAAACTTTTGAAATATGGAAGTAGAAGGGGACTCAAAAGTCCAAGTCCCTTGGACTTACAGGCATGTCTTCAGGGAGATTGATTACTATCAAGGGAGGTAAACACTTCCTACTTATGGGCCAGAAGAACTTCAAATGGGATGGCAGATTCACTAGCAAAACAAGTAGACATCAATTATTTTGGGCACCAATGTAAATCTTATGTATTTGGATGGTTGTATTATCTCAACTAGATGTACTAAAACTCTCTCGTTGAATTAATTAAATCTTCTTCTCTACTGATAAAAAAAGCAATCTCCGTGTGTGGTTTGGCAAATTCATTGAGGTAGTAAAGAATTTTGGGATGAAATAGTGTAATGTTGATCATTTGGTGTTTAGTTATGAATCTACAGCAGGGAAGATCCTCTTAGTAGTGTATGTTAATGGCATAGTTATTAATTTTTGAGAAAATTTAACCAAGATTTATTGAGAATAAAAGGGAAGGGGGGGGGGACAAGAGGAGATATACAAAACAGGGGGGGAACCCCTGCAAGTTACAAAGGAGGAAGCTTGTCGCTATACAGATGCTCCAAATACACACCAAATTTAGCTAGGCCATCTGCAGTATGATTGTATTCCCTAGGAATCCAAACTAAGTTAACATTCAATCCATCCAAA